GAGAGGAGAGGAGAGGGAGAGGGAGAGAGGAGAGAGGAGAGAGAGAGAGAGAGAGAGAGAGAGAGAGAGAGAGAGAGAGAGAGAGAGAGAGAGAGAGAGAGAGAGAGAGAGAGAGAGAGAGAGAGAGAAGAGAGAAAGAAGAGAGAAAAGAAAGACAGAATAGCATGACATACAGACAAAGAAATTCATACAAAAAGCAATGAAAGATAGATTAATGGACATACATATATATATATATAGAAAGAAGAATTAATTATGATAGAATATAGCAAATTGTGCGTGAAAAAAGAACAGCTTTAACAGTCTGAAATGCACATAAGCTTCTCTGTAGCCCTTCCAGTCAGCAAAACAATAACTAATTTGTTAAATTATCAATTAATGGTGTATATACACGTACTGTCTTTTTTTCTGCTCGAGACTTATGTGCAAATGATAAACCGAAAATGGACTTTATATTGCAAAAGGGAATAACAACTGACATTTAACAGACCATATTCATACTTTTAACTCTTATATACTTAAAGAATTTTGTTATTTTATCAAAGACCTTTGCAAGAATCAAATATGAAACTGCCTTCTAAGATAATTATTTTTTTTACAAAGTATATCTTCATATCACAAGATATGCTTTATCTTTTCAAGACATCCATTTTTTTATTTGCAAAGTTTATTGATTTCTTCCAGAGTACTTTTCCTCTATTCTTAGTCAGATTGAACCGAATTCGTTCTAGCTACTTCCAAATTCACGTTTTACGTCTGAAATGGTGAAAAAAGTGTTATTACATTTTACTACCGATATCCAGGAGGTACTTTTTAAAAAGATCTAGGATTACTGCTTCAGGGAGAAATATTACTAGCATGTACTTTAGAGATACAAGGAGCATTACAGGGTCATTGCACTAGCTTCTACTTCAAACTAATCACGGAAGGATCAACAAGGTAATCAGGATGCTGGAACAGGAGCGTGTGACTTCAGGGGTGGCGAGAGTTCAGAATAATTTTTTTGGGCAGGGAATGGTGGTGCAGTCAGATATCTTTTAATTTGCTTTTTTGATATATATATCTTTTAAATGGTTAGAGGATAAGTCCGTATTTAAATGAATGGTTATTTACTTAGAGAAAAGAGTTTAAAGGGTGAGATATTATTACAGACAAAAACAAAGTAAAAAAGAAGTATGTTGCAAGAAGATTAAGATGACTATATTTCCACCCCTGTGGGCAAAGTTGTTTTTCACTGGACATTGTGGCGGACGTACACTGTGAATAGGATCCTTGTGTTTATGGTTGCTGATGAGTCTGTGTACTAAGGTCTCGTTCACAGAGCCAGTGGTGGGTTTCTCTGGCGGGACGGGGGAGATGGAAGCCTCCCGGGGGGCAGAAGAGGAATGGGTGGGACGGATCAGGCTGTGACTGGACCTGCGCAGTGGGGGGGCAGAGCAGGGCGTGGGCAAAGCTTCCTCTAGCTTGTACTGGGTTGGTCTAAGGCTTGTACGTCCTGAGCTGAGGTCAAGCACACTGTTGGAGGTTGTAGGTCTCTCTGAGAGCTTTTTAAGGCACGGCTTGGTGTCTGTTGCAGCCTTGTAGGGGGCGCTGTCCAGGCCGGATTCCTCCGCCGCGCCGCCTGCGCCTTTACCACTGACCCGGTCGCCGTGCGCCGGAAGCGAGTCCCTGCAGCTGGTCGAGGGGGAGCCCGAGGAACCGGAGCGGCTGTGGTGCAGGCCCTTGGGTCTGCGCTCTGCTTTCTCCTGCGAGGCGGCGCGAGCGGAAAGAGCGAGAGAAAAGTTCATTTGTTCAGCAAGGGAGAAGGCCGTGACGTAGTGGCCAAGTAAAGAAAATAGTAAAACTAGTGATCTGAGTCTAAATCAGATACTATACATCATCAAAGACTGTATGGCAGCACACACCGAAAAAAATCCTCCATGAAAAGCGAGTGTACTCTACCATTTTCATCTGAGATGTAACTTTATCAACAACCTGAGCGACGCTTTGCCTCCCGGCCCCCTTCCGCCGGGGGTGCCTCTGCACCTTCTTCTTCCGCATCCTCACGGGCGTCGTCTGCCGGTCCGACTCCCCGCTGCTCGAGTTCGTTTCACTGGAACAGCAGCGCGGGGAGGAAGTTACTCGGGGGCACTTTATACTTGATGTAAATTAGATGATATGATATGGTCACTCAGTCTTGTACTTGAGATGCTTATTCATTGAATTATTCAGATTTACAATTTTGATTACTATTCGAGCTGTGTTACATATACAATTACTGTTTTCTTTGACTCTGTATTCAGTCTATAAATGACTCCTCTTTCAATCACAAAATATCCCACTAAATATTATACTTATGAACACAATCTTTCCTTCTTTAGTGACGTGATCTCACACTTTAAATCACTCTTGTCTTAATCACACACACACACACACACACACACACACACACACACACACACACACACACACACACACACACACACACACACACACACACACACACACACACACACACACA